TTCCACGCTCGTCGCTCCTCACCGCACGCGCAGGCGATGCTGCGGAGACGTGCCGCCGCACGGTGCCGCACTTGCGGATCCTCTTCCGCGACGGTGGCCTGGCGTCAGCCGCTGCGCCGTGGGGGGCCGTCACATCAACGAAGTGCCAAGTATCGGTCTGTTGGGGATCCGCCATCATGAGCGAAGGAGACGTTCATTTTGTTGTGGTTTTTTGGGACGGCAGAAGAGTCCTAGCCCTAGCCTAGCCTCCGTTGGCGGTCGTGTTCGCCTGATCTCGAAAGCAACACGTTTCCCCCGCCGATCCCCTTCGAAGACCGTGTTCGCCACCGATGGGGGTGCGGTTGAGGTGTCACGCTCGCCGTGGGCAGCAAGTTCGTGGAAGGCGCGAAAGCAGGGGACCGGGGGAATCACTCAAAGCTGGTATAGACGGGTGTTCTTCGTTCTTCGCACTGGAAATAAGGAGTTTTCTGAGTCCGCATCTCTCCCAGCACGTTGCGGCCGTAAAGGCGCCTCTTATCCTTTCGTTCCAAAGGTCTTCCAAGAGACGTTTGTGCGGGCAGAAGTCGTTCGTGATTTGATTCGGTTCTCGAGGCATGTCCAGCTCCCACCGTGCGGCACCCACGGCTCTTCGTGCTCAAGCAGTCGACGTTCATCAGTGGGGAACGAGTTCATGTCAGGGCATGGGGAATGTCTTGAGGAGATCTGGACGTTGTCAAAGTGTCCAAATGGAGACCTACCCTAGAAGTCCCCCAAAGACTATTTTCGGCACCACCCAAGTAAAGGAAATTCCTTTTTCGGATCATCCAAAGACAAGTTTAAAAATAGTCTTTGACTTTCAGGGCCTATATACAATGTAGGATAGTCCATTGGACACCCCGATGGGGAAGCAGCTGGTAGCTTTCATTGGTCAACTGCGATTGTCCCCAATAGGAGATTCATACGGACTGGTGGCACAGATGTGGTTCAACAAAAACCTACAAAGAAGCTTCTCGGATGTTCTTGGGGTAATGGGCTCAGAAACTGAAGCAGACTTGTTGTCGACATGGGTTTGTTTCGTCACGTCCACATGGTGACGGAACTGGGTAGTGATGGATAGTCCTTGGTGGAAAGGTGTTGATCGTTGTCGATCAGTTCCAAAAACACACTTTGGAGGTGCCAGAGGTACTCAGGTGGCCCGAACCCGCTGATAGTTAGCTCTGGATCCTACCAAGGTGGCATAGCCATGCAGTAGCCACCATGGCCCATCTCATCGTCTGTTGGGAGAAAAGCTTCAGCCAAAACTCAACTTGAAAAGCCTCCGGACAAAAATAAGTCCTTCTTTTTGGAGGACACCGGACACCTGCACTCTTGACACCGGCACCGCGCCGTCACCGCCGAGGAGCGTCAACTCTTGGACGCCCTGCGCGAGCGCCTCGAGACGAAGGCGAAGCAGCGCCCTTCCGCCGCCGCCGGCGGCGAGGGCGAGCAGTGGCGGCAGGGCCTGAGGAGGGCACCCACGGCGCGGCCTGGGGGCGGCTGGAGGGGCAGGAGGGTAGGGGGGCGAACGGATGGATGAACAGCAGGCACCAGTCGAGAGGATCAAAAAAGGCCTCACCCAAATGTGACCTGTAGCCATGTGGGAGCACCTTCAGCGAAGAGCCGCGCAAAGAAGGGCGCCGTTTCAAACACCTCCATGTGGCCGCTTCAATGAACCAGATGTCAGGTCGACGCCAATCGATCTGAATCCTGGCCGCAAGGGACCCAATTCGACCCCGTCATCAGCAGCGACCAATTCGAAGGATCTCCAGTGTCAGAAAGAAAAAGGCCAAGGGTCATCCAATGATCTATTCGTAGAGGGTTCGAATAGAGTCATCCACTGGAAAGAGGTCGACTGGACTGCCAAGTTTTTCTCCATCCTTTTCAGTCGGAGGATCAACGCGACGAGGTCGGTGCTGTGGACCGCGCACGGTGCTCCGCCAGGAGTAGCTTGAAGCGCTTCGAGTCGACGACGGCCTTGTTCCTCTCCGACGAGGTGCGTCGGACGCGCGTACCGCGTTGCAGCGCGCGGCGAGCACGCGGCGGAGCGTAAGAACAGCGCCTTTTTGTATCGTTTTTGGGGGGTGGCCTTGTTCGTTGGGCCAAAATCTCTTTTTGGATCTGCTTGGTGGAGATCTCCAATCATCTCGCAGTCAGTCATGTCCATGGAAACTCTCATATCATACTGTCATATCAGATGATTTGATGAGGACAGCTATCTTCATGTCCTCCAAAAAATATTACTGTAAAAAGAACGAAGAGAAAGCAAGAGCCAACTCTCTCTCTCTCTCTCTCCACCTCCCAACCACCCAACCAATCCGAAAACAACAGCCCTTTCGGCCACCGTGGCCCACCAGGGCGTCGACCTCTTCGCCGCGACGACCTCGGTCGTCGCGCCGCGAGCCTCGCGCCGCCGCGTCGAACGGCTGCTGCTCATCGTGCCTCCGGCATGCGACGGGGTGCGGCGGACTCCCAAAAGAGTCTATATAATAGGCACTTCCTTCCCTCCAAAAGTTTCTTGGGTGGCATTTCTTAAGATGTGTTCAAAAGAAATGAGCGAAGATTCAATCAAATGGTTCAAAAATGTTCAAAAAAAACAAAAAGAACGCGGTGTTTCTTTGACCAACGCGTGTTTCGGCGGGTTTGCTCGGTCGCCCTCTTCCGAGGCGCCGGGCGACGGGCTCGCAGCTGCCACGCGGCGCCTCTGCGACGAGGAGCTGGGAGCTGTGGCCGCTGGGCGGAGGGAGAATGAGTGGAGAATGGTCAGGGGGAAGAAGTGAGGAGATCTAGATAGATCTAGATAGATCTACTCAAGCTTTTTGGTGATTGATGGCAGATGTCTGAGCTAGTTGAAATAGGACAGAAATTGGGGTTCAACAAGATCGTTGGAGATGGAATTTTGATTAAGTTGATCCCAGTTGGTGGAGGGGAGAGCCGACTGGTGATCGTGCACAACTGCATGGCCATGCTTCAGCCGACCAGTGCTGAGTCGTTAGGTGTCACTGGAGGATTTCGAGTCCAACAACATGTGTGAGCCCGAACAAAAACCATACACAACTCACCTTTCTACCTGCAGGCTATCTTTTTGAGCAGGGGAGGTGTATTTTCGGTGGACGGATCTTGATGGGGTCAAGCATTCTGTGGATCTCACGTGTCTGAGATGTCTCCATCCAAAAGGGCCGAACCATTGGAATCACATGAAGACAAAAGGCCAATGATGAGGAAAGGGGGCATGTAACATGTGCCCCTGTGCCCCTACCAAAAGAAAGAACATGAAAGAACAACAGCTCATAGACACCACTTTGGAGTAGAACTACTGGACACTCCATGGCAACGCCTATCAGAATCTGGACGCCTTTCCACCCCCGGAATGGAGCGATGACACGTGCCGGTCCCATGGACAGCCCAGTTTGGGGTGCGCGCTGTTCGCTGGTCACCAAGGTGGCCGTGTCCTTGGCGCCAAGCGCGCCCAGCGCCGTGGTCATGCTCCAGCCACGTGGTGCCCAGGGGTGCACGATGCGGTGGGAAGACTGGAGAGGTAGACTCATTTAAGGTCACTTGCCCAGGCAGTAGAGAGTGGGGACACCCCACGAAACAAGGAACCTGCTGGAAAAAGGAGGTGTTCCTATTCTCTTCCAAAGAAACTAAGAGGGTGAGTGGGATGTTTGGACACCGGTAAAGTGTCCGGTCGTTCGGTTTTGAAAAGCGTTGATCAACGAAAAGCACGGTGAATCAACGAAAGTCGTGGGGTGTGTCGAAGAGGGAGACATTCAAGAGACCCCCCCTGATCGAAGAAGGAAAATGGACCCCAAACCCATGGCTCCCTATTTAAAAATACACATCATTACACATCCACATGATATTCATGTGGGAGTCCTCTTGAGGAGTCCCCTGAAACTCACATTGAACAGAATGTTGTACTTTGGACGACCCCGTCATGGACCATTCTCATGGTCGGCTTTTTTGTTGAGGTTACCTAGAGGTTTGCTTCATCCACCAAGTCGATTCTCAAGACAAGTTCTATCAACAAACAGGGCCGTTTCCAGTTCCAGCAGCCACTTTGATGTTGCTGGTTGAGTTGGGTTTTTGCGGGTGCTGACTCAGGTGCTCAAAATGGTTGATGTTCTTCGGACAACATCGTTTTTTCCTCCAAGGTTCATGCACTACTGCGGTGCCTTGGCCTCTCGCCTTGACCCTTTCCTGCCCCAAAAAAGAGAGCGGAGCGGCGCGTGGACGGTAACGGTTCGCTCCGCGGCTTCGATGGCTTTGGTGTTTGGGGTTCGCAAGGCTTTTGGAGGTGCTGAAAAGGGGGCCAGAAGAACAGAACAGTTCCGGTCAAAGTTGATGCGCAGCAAATGGCCATCCCGTGGTGGTTTAAGCGCCACTGGTTTTGGGAAGTTCTTCAACGTTCGTGGGGATGTGCTTTTCTCACGGATTCACGAGCCGAACTTGAACATTTATTTGGTAGGTAGGATTCGATTGAGTTCACCAAAACCATGCGAATTGTGCCATGTTAAAAGCTCGGATAGCTCGGCACATCATGTGCCATGAAACCATCTCTCTTGGGCCTTCATGGAGAATGGGTGAGATCCGAAACGGGTCAACCCCATCGTGCGAACGGGTTGAAAGGGCGCCAATCGATGAATTAGGATGAATGCTATCTGAGGATGTATAGAACCTGTACTATAAGGTGGTTTCTTAAGGTTGTACTATATAATGATAAGGTGGTGTCTTATATGCAATATGAACCTATAGAACTACTTCAGATGGTTTCTTGAGGTCGGAAGCTTGGAGGATTCACCTCCGATGCCACTGACTCTTCGCTGTTTTTCTTCCACGGTGCATGTGTTCTTCTTCCACGGAAACTGCAGGGGGGAATATCAGGTTGGGGATCCAATGGAATGATTAGCCCACGGCCATGTCATCACATCTTACATCCGGGTGGGGTGGGGTGGGCGCCGGTCCGTCACCCACGCGGCGGCCAGGCTCAGTTCAGCGTCAGCGAAGCCATCGGCTGTGCCGGGACGCGAAGCGTTGCGGGGGAAGCGCGAAGAAGTACCAAGAGAGAGGTAGCCAGTGACTGTAGACAGGACCCCTCACCAGGGGTACCCAACTGGGATAGTCGAACGAACTCGGATCCTTCAACCTTTGTTGGTATAGGTAAGTGGCAGTGGAAGTGGCCTATCCCGGGGCACACAGCATCCACTTTCTGGCCAAGAAGTCAAGGTCCAAGATGCTTGATTCGACGGTCCATCCGCTTGTTCTTTCGGTTTTGCTTGGTTTCCGCGGAGGTCGGGTCGGGTCAGTTAACAACAGCCATTCCTTCCGGGCTTCGCAAACAACACGGCGGTTTCGTCGTGGCGAGGCTCCTTGGAACCGAAGAGTTCGTGGCGAGGCTTCAACCCTTGATGTCCATGCCGGGTCATCCCGCACCACCCTTGTTTCCAGCTACAGGGTTCTACACATGTCTACACTGCAAAGCCAGATCAAAAAATGTGTTGAAATGGTCTGTGAAGGCTATACGGTGTGTGTGTTCTTCAGCTTCTTTTCCTCGAGTTTCAGGGTGCTGTGTTTTCTTCAGCCCGGACATCTAAGCCACAGATGCTGCAGATGCCGCCGTCTTGAGGCCCGGGCGCTTCTGGAACAGCTGGCGCCCACCATGGCCGGGGATCACGAAAACGCTTCCAGTGACGAGGATTGGACGGAAGTGGGCCTAAGAAAATTGGAAGAGGGTGATCAAGGAGCAAAGGAACGAGCAATGGGATTCCAACCAGCTTCTTCTGTCCGTGACCCAACTTTTGGAGTCTCATCCAGTGGCCTCAGATCACCTGCTTTTCCCGACTTTTCCACGAGGCTTGGCTTCAAGCTCTTGTTGCGACAGGGCGTCGACGTAGAAGTCGGAGGAAGACGTAGACGTAGAATGGTCCACCCGGTCGGAGGGTGGAACTGGACGCCTCTCGGCCCGAGGCGGCGATCAGCAAAGTCACCTACCACCGGGACGCCTCTCGGCGGCACCACTCCAGGTCGGGACCGCTGCAGGCGAACGGCAGTGACCTGTCATTCACCTCATGGCCATTGCAAGTCCCTTGGACAATTTAAAATGTTGGAAATGATTGATCTGGTTTTGCGTAAGATCCGTAAAACAAGGGCGGTTCGGTAATTTAGTAGAGGCTATGAAAACAAGGGTGGTTCAACTTCTAGGGACAGTGCAAAAGAGAGTATACAGATCATCACGGATCCAAAGCTATGGATCGTATGGGTTGGCTTTAAGGACTCCAAGGACTCCATCCTCAAAGGATCGTTGCGGCCATGTGAGGCAAAGACCAGAGGAGATGGTTTCCAGACTTCACCAAGCGGCCATGTGACTGATCGGTATGAAGTGTTTTCTAAGAAGGTTGGAGCCAGGAGAAGGTATTGGTGTTCTCATGGTAAGACCATCAAAACTTGTGGGTGGCTGGACTGGCTGGACATGTGTAGATATCTCCTAGAAAACTAGATATAGAAAACTGCAACGTGTGTATACATTTGTCATCCAATTGGAACGAATTGATCGTGTTGGAGGCCTAGCAAGCTGCTGCTGCTGCTGCTGGTTGGAGAAAAACGTTTTTTGACGCAAAATCGCTTTGGGCCAATCTTTGGCGCTCAGAAACCTGTTTCTTCGTCTCGAAGCCTAAGAAGCCATCCCAAAGCAGACATGGAAGAGATCACTTTCGGTGGAGCGTGAATCTATCCGGCACAATTTGTATGTGCGGTGTGTGGGAAAAGGAGTTGACCACCCCAAAAGGGGCTGCACATCATTCGCTCAGGTGAATGCGCACAACATCCTGGCGCACCTCGAGGCTTGTCGTCATGCTGGGCATGGCTTTGGCTCCAGAATTTATCACTACTTGAGTCCAATTTGAAGTTCCCCCTGACTGTAATTAGATTGTTATTCTTTGGGGTCTCGAAAAGCTTTCTCCCCTCTTGGCGCGGCTTCACCGGTCCTTCATCGGGGTTCCCCAAGGGCGATCGGCCGCCCGTGAGCTTCGGCCTGGTGGACTTCGGCCTGGCGGTGGATGCGCCGCTCGGAGCAGCAGCAGCGCCGGACGGTCCACGGTGGTTTGGGTTCGGGCCGGCAGAGGGGATGGAGCGTCTGGCTCTTCACGAGGATGGTCACCGAAATGTTTCGAGAAGGGAGGTCGAAGGGATGTGTATGGTATACTCATGTACATTCTGAAAGGTACTCGGCGCTGCCTTGTGTCCTCCCTCCGTGGGACGGATCCACCCAGGAGCAACGTTCCGTACGGTGGTCCACCCGAACAGGAGGAATAAGGAGGGAGTGCGTCCCTCCGCCGTGCGCTGGAGGGTGCTGATATGATACGGGTGCTGATACTTCTATGATACTTGTAGTCTATACCCTAGCTAAGAAGACACCAGCGCAGTCTTTTGGCAAGAAAAATCCCTGCAGCCCCCCATGCCATCTGAAGCCAAACTGGGTCCGGCGCATTCCGGCGCCACCTCGTCCGACCTTCTCCGAGGTCCACGTGGATGGACGTCTCCGCGGCGAACCCCTTGGGCAAGAGCGAGTGGGAGTACCTGGACGTGGGCGCGGTGCCTCAAGAGCTTCGTTGGCGGCTGCGGACAGGGCGGTGGCCGTGGTCGTCGTCTTCTTTGGTGCATGAGAGAGAGAGAGGGAGAGACTCGGAAAAGACGGTGTTTTCCCATGCGGCAAGCTGCTTGTGAAGGAGAGGACAGGTGATGGTTTGGTCCAGAGCATGGACCGATGGGAAATCTGTTTGGATGGTTTCCAAACAGGAATGTTCCTGTATCCGACAGGCTTCCTGGCAGGATGCCCGAGCTATGGACCAAGGGGCACAAAGAAGACCCGGAGGTTCACCAGACACGCTCATGTCACATGGTGTGATGAGCATATGTATGGATTGGCTCCCCAAAGCCCTATAATCCGTTTATGAGCATCCTTTTCTTTTATTAAAGAGGTCCTTGCAATCAAGCAAGTTAGCCAAGCAGTCTTCTTTGTTCAATCAACCCCTGTCAACGCCGCCCGCCCGGCGCTGTCGCTGTCGCGTCGCTGTCGCCCCCTGAGGCGGCGACTGCCGCTATTGGCCCGTCTCCGCCTGGCGGCAGTTCGAGGCCATCCGCGCTCCGTCGACGACGACGGTTGGGCCACGGAGGTGGGGAGGTGATCGGGTCAAGCCCGGATCCACATACCGAACCGGTACAGTGAGGAAGGAGACTAGGCTATGTTTAGGCCCAGGCGCCAGGGGGACGCAATGACCTTCTGAGAAGGTGGCAGTGGATTCATAGGGAAGCGAAAGAGGTGAAGTGGTTTTGGGGGACCTTTGTGGATGGTTGTTTTGGAAGGCACCGCCTTGATTGTCTCATCGGAGTCTTTGGCGGGAGTTGCCGGATGTGGTTGCTAGGTCTCAGACTCCAAATCGGAGACCCTCAAGCTGCATCGCCGCTGTGAGCGTGGTCCCCACCTCACTTGGGTCAGGGACTGTGTTGGGTTCACGTTTCCGGCGATAGAACTTGACTGTCCGAGTTTCGGCGTATTCTCAGACCCTTAGTGCTTTTGGTTTGGAAGGGATGTCTTACTTAACTACTCAAGGTTAAAGACTTCGCAAAGAAGCGATGGACAGCCAAGATAACCAACAGAGGTTAAATGACCTTATAGGACCGATGGCCCAGCGGTACCTATAGGATAGTCGAACGTGCGGCTTCGTCAACCTCTGCTGGAGCATTGAAAGCCCTTGGAATTCAACGACTGGGTCCCTCCCACTGTGGGTCCCACACTGTGAAAGCCGCTCGCTGACTAGCTTGCCCCTGGAGCCATTGCTTGTGGCTGAAAACCCTGTTCCGTCTGCTCCATGGGAGAAGGACCACCTTTTGCTGTTCTATGTGTGACTCTGGCGGCAGAATTCCATCGAATGTCTTCAACAGCTGGGCACGGAAACTCTAACTGCCGTGCTTCTGCTTGTTTCTAGTAGCTTCTTGCTACTAAGGCCGGGAGCCCCTAGTAGCGTCCGATCGCTCCTAGTAGCTGTTGACGTCCCGAAAAGCGTTGCGGCCCGAACACCCGGTGCCCACCGCCCCAGGCGGGCTGCAAGGTTCTCTCACAGGTGCACCGGAGAAGCGCGCGAAGCGTTGGGAGCGAGGATCGGAGGTTAGCAGGAGTACAGACACAGCAACGCCTTTTTACATGAAGCGGTATGGGAAATGTCAATAGCAGTGGGACGACAGCACAGTATGAACATGTACAGTGTACAGCATACTTCAGCGTGTCACGCCAATATATGATCAAGACACCCGTAGAGCAAAGCGGAAAGCAAGTGCGCGCCATCGCTATCTACGAGGGAGAGGATAGTCTACTCATACTTCCCGTTGAGCAGATTAATATCCACACGCAGGTTATCACCCGTAGCCGCTCCAAGCTTGCGAGTTCTAAGAGACCAACACTGCAATAAAGACTCAACTCGCAATGTCGAGCTCTGGAGGAAAGAGTAGTGGACAATTCTCTGTCGCAGCTCCAGGAGGAAACGCATCGCAGTCATCGCCTGGCTCAATCAATGATGCTGGCTGCCATCCACATCACAAGCTTCAGGCAACAGAAGGGTCGCCCCACTGGAGACGACTTCGGCTGGATCTGATGCTAGAATGGGCAACGCAAAGAGGATTGTGAAGAGGTTCACAAGATCTACATCGCCGAGAACAACATCGAGAAGATCACCCAAGAGAGATATCGAGAAAGTAGAAATTGAAGATGCCAAGGAGTATGAGGAGAGAGAAGTTGGACTGACTGAAGAATTGCGATCAACGAGAGTTTCCTATCAACATCTGAGTGACGAATACAGCTGTTTACATGATGGGCATACCACGCTCTACGCTGAATCAAGACAAGAATTTTCGCAGATGACAAAGTGCAATATGGCAATGAACACTCACCTACAAGAGATGATGCAAGAGGATGAAGGAGCTACTATAAGGATCGAAGAACTTGAGAGGAAGCTCAGACTTGCCGAATCATTGGCAAAACACATCTACACAAAGTACGAACAGGTCGCTCATGAGAATCATGAAGAACACTCTCAATTCGACGAGGTGACGTCCAAGATGGAGGACATGACCAGTGAAATGCAGGGTGCATTCCAGTACATCCAAGAACAAAACCAAATCTCAGGCTATACAACAGAACAGCTCAACATCACACTGAAGAGAACAGAGTGATGATGAATGTCGCTGATGAGCTACAGACGAAGATGTTGATGCTACAGGATGAGAATAGCAACATGTTGGAGGTAGCTCAGAGAGAAAGGGAAAAGCAATGGAGCACTGAAGTGAGCCACATCATACTGACCAACGAAGCAGCTGAGAGTACTGACCATCAATATCAAGAGAAAAGAATGATAGAAAACCTTCGTGGTCAACTGGCACTCGTCAAAGGATCCGAGATGAGTATGGTTGCAGAGATGGGCAGAGATTCAGGCATACAAATTGGAAGTCAGTGAAAGGGAAATGCGAGCACAACAATTTCAGTACGAAGCAAGGGTGATGGCTGAGGCAACGAAGACAATGGAAGACGCTGCAAGCAAGATAAAGATACAATCCAAGGAGGAGCAACGTCAACTGAGAGAAGCCAACTCTGCCCTCACTGAAGCCAATAAGGTGCTGAAAAGGGAGAATCTACTCGGAACGTCCGCAATTGATGGTAGAGAGAGGATAGTTCTCGTGGAGAAATTCCAAGAAATTGAGGAGAATCACAAGATCGCCGAGAAGAAACTATTGGAAGCAAGGTCAGAGAATGCCAAGTTGAAGGCAGAGAAGCACCATGGATTTGCCAAAGATGAGAAACGAGAGGGACGAGGGTTACATACCACTCGGCTCAATGAAGAGGATCAGTCGCGACTTAAGGAGGACCTGAGACATGAAGAGAATGAAGTGGACAGGTTGAGAAGGGCGCGTGAAACCTATGAATGGTACTTGGATGCATTCAAACACTATGAAGAGGGGATCGAAGAAAAGGAAGCAGTTGAAGAAGAGAATGCAGAACTCAAGAACAGATTACCAGAAACTGCATCAGCATCGTCCTCCTCTCCAACGTATGCAACCAAAGTATCCAGAAAGGAAGAATCCAAGGTGAACGTGCCACCATGGCCAAAGGTCAATGACCTGGGACTGTGGAAAGCCAACTTGATACAAGCAATAGTCATCGCAGCAAATGACTCGGATCAACAACCATGGATTGATTGGGTCAAAGAAGCTATTGATGATCCTGATCCTGACAAGCTGATGGACTCTGGTGGCCCAAGATTCCACTCAATCGATGCAAAACTGGGACTCGCATTGACCAAAGTTGTCGCAGACTCCGGGGGGGAGGGAAACAATGTCGCCATGAAATTGAGGACAAGAATCAGACGCGAAAGGAAGGGCCTCTACCCTCATCAAAGGAAGAGAAATCCTCGCATTGATACTCCTCAACTTCAAGACAACCTCCAATGTTGAAGTGCTGTACACATCAATGCACTTATATCAGTTTGAATATCAGGGAGATAGAAATCTGTCACTCTTCTTGCATACTTGGGATGACATCTTAGCCGGAATGAAGCCAGCCGGGCCGACATCCCCAGTGACGATACACTTCGTGATCTCCTGTACAGGAGGCTGAAGAACCCAAACATGACGTCCTACGATATTCATACGTACAACAGCCTCAACGAAAGGAGATCCCAAGAAATCATACCAGACGATCCGTGACATGATTCGAAGGCACATCGCAAGACAAACTGAGGACAAGATGCTTCTTGAGAAGGAGAAAGCTGTCAAGAATGTGGCCAATATATTTCAGAGTCTCAAACCCGGTGGTCCAGCACCTATAAGGCTAAGGCCACACCTGCACCCAATGATCCGAAGAAGCCAAAACCCAAACCATCGGGAGCAGTGGGAGAGACCGAAGAAGCGACACCTGTCAAGCCAACTCCCAATCCGAAAAGGCATCCAGAAGACAAAAAGGGGTAAAGGAAAAGGAGATGGTAAGTAAAGACAGGGGCAGAAGTACAAGTGTGGACAAGAAGAAGATCCCATGCAAATTCTTTGCAAAAGGGAAATGCAACAACGGAAAAGGGTGTCCATTCAGGCACAAGAAACTGAGGACTCCATCGAGAGGTGCATCCCTTAAAGGTGAAGGGAAAGTTCCATGTTGGCATTGGATTCGAGGGAATTGTCCGAAGGGAAAAGAATGCAAATTCTATCATGATCCCAAGGCAGCACCCAAGAAGGGCACGTTTGCAGCAGCGGACTCTGGAGAAGACAAGCTCAAACCAAAACCGAAGCCTAAGGGAAAGCCTCGTGCCCCGGCAGTGGGAGATTCACTCATTTTGGAAGAATCGGATGATGAAGGAATTGCAGCAAGCGTGAAGATAAACCTCAACAAAAGAAGGTATCATTTGACGCGGATGTCGGTGATATCATTCTCAACGAGGCTGTGTATTCCATCAGAGACATTTGGAAACCCGTGGTTAGGAAACCGTTGTGACCAGATATCAAGAGATATGAAACAAGGGAGATCACTGATCATTCCCATGCGATCACGATGAGGTTCGATGAGGAGGAAGGCTTGGTGTACCATCACAAGCTAATACCTCACGTTTGCGGCAAACACGGGTTAAAAGGTGAAGTGCAAACATTGTCAGTACCTGCAAAAGGGTCAAGAGCGAAGTTCATCATGGGCACAGGATGTGGACATGACTTGATCTCAAAGAAAGAGCCAAGAAGTTGGGCCTGGAGGTTGAAAAGAATGTGCATCCTCTGTCATTCTTCACGGCAAATGGTGTGACAAGTACAAATGATGTTGCTAAGATTCACTTCGATGAATTTGAATCCACTCATACCCCGTACGTGTTGGATGAATCACCTTCTGTGTCGTCAGTAGGTAAGAAATGTATGGAAGAAGGATTCATTCGTGTGGCCGGAAGGCAACATTCCTTACATCGTGAAAGACAGTGACTTCTGTTCCCCAATGGTTGATGAACAAACTGAGAATATTTCCAGAATGATCACTGGTGACATAAATGTGAGCTACCAGCCAGAGATTGTGGATCATGAGGTCGATCCCCAAGGACTCAATTGTGATGTTGACGATCAACCTTGCGTTCCACAGAAGAAGAGGAAGAACATGGAGATCCTGAAGAGATGGAGGAAGTAGTCGATGAGGGCGACGCTGACGATCTCGAGGTTGAGGTCGTTGACGGCGCGAGTAGGATGGTGAGGCGAGGAACGCTCAAGGCTGAAGCAAGAACGATACAACACCTCCTCACTCATCGTAGCAAGAATCCATACTGTGAATCATGTATCAGGGCTAAGATGAGACATTACAAGACTCACAGAGGTGCATTCAAAAGGAAACTCAAAGCATTTGGAGACCTAGTCACCTTTGACTTCATCGACACTCAGAGGATCATGGACCAAGGAATTCACACCGACAGAGAAACATTTGTGAACCGAGGTCGATACACAGGAATCATCTGGGCATATCCGTCAGTGGAGAAGTTCACACAGCTGATGTGATCAATGCGGTGAACCACTTTAAAGGGCTCAGAAAGATCAAGATTGCTTACGCAGACAAAGCCCCTGAGTTTGAAGTGACAATGAAGAAGTTGAAGATCCCATTCGATCACTCACTACCACATCACCCACACAACAACTCATTGGCAGAGGAACAATCAGTTCATCATGACAACCACCACCACATGCTTGCTGGAAGCGGGTCTTCCGCCGTGCTTCTGGAACCACGCTGTGGAATGTAAAAGCCACTTGTTGAACATTGAAGGTGGAGAAGATGAGAAAAGCCCATGATTCAAACTTCACGGGAAAGAATTTCACGGCGAAAAGATACCATTCGGTGCCAAGGTTTTCTTCATGCCCAGCAGTCAAGGAAGGGTACTCCTGAAGCACAAATTTGATCCTAAAGGGATACCAGGAGTATTCGCAGGGTACGAAGTGAAGCCAGGCATGAACTGGTCAAGACAATACCGAGTATGGAGTTTGGAGACTTTCGCAACTCAAAGCCTAGCATTTGACACAAGACGTCCTATCAGGAAGTTGCACAGGCCACAACTCACAGAAA